AAAAAAAAAAAAAAAAGGATGGATAATAGCAAGAACTGGCAAGAATGTGGAGAAACTGGAAGCCTTGTAAACTCCTGGTGTGGATGTAAACTTGTACAGTCACCTTGGAAAACAGCCTGATAGTTCCTCAAAAGGTTAAACATAGGGCTGAGAGCAGTGGCTCATGCCTGTAATCCTAGCACTTTGGTTGGCTGAAGCAGGCAGATCACTTGAGGCCAGGAATTTGAGAACAGCCTGGCCAACATGGTGAAAACCCGTCTCTACCAAAAAATACAAAAATTCTCTGAGCATGGTGGTACACACCTGTAATCCCAGCCACTCAGGAGGCTGAGGCACAAGAATCGTTTAAACCCAAGAGGCAAAGGTTGCAGTGAGCCGAGATCATGCCACTGCACTTTAGCCTGGGTGACAGAGTGAGACTCTGTCTCAAAGGAAGGTTAAACATAGAGTCACCATATGACTTAGCAATTCCACTCCTCTCTATATATACTCAAAAGAAATAAAAAGATAGGTCCACGTAAAAAGTTGTATACAAATGTTCATAGCAACACTAATCCTAATAGCCAAAAGGTAGAAATAACTGAATAATGAATAAACAAATGTGATATATCTATGCAATAGAATATTATTCAACCATAAAAAGAACTGATGATACATGCTGCATCATGGATGAACCTTGAAACCATTATCCTAAATCAAAGAAGCCAACACAGAAGACCACATATTATGTGATTCCATTTATATAAAATGTCCAGAAGAGAACACTCTATATAGAGACAGAAGTTAGATCAATGGTTACCAAGAGGTAGGTGTGGGGGTTGTAATAAAAAGTGAATGCTAACAGGGCTTCCTTTTGAGGGTGATGAAATGTTCTAAAACGGATTTCACAACTCTGAAAATACAAAAAAGCATGCAACTGTATAGTTTAAATGGATGAATTATATGGTATGTGGTAATATCTCAATAAGGCTATTATAAAAACCTCCCACAACACTACTCCAAAAATGTTGCAGTAAATATGTTAGAAGTATTAATATGTACTTTTTTTTTTTTTTTGAGTTGGAATCTCGTTCTGTCTCCCAGGTTGGAGTGCAGTGGCATGATCTCGGCTCACTGCAACCTCCACCTCCCAGGTTCAAGCAATTCTCCTGCCTTAGCTTCCTGAGTAGCTGAGATTATAGGCACGTGCCACAATGCTTGGCTAATTTTTTTTTTTTTTTTGAGACGGAGTTTCGCTCTTGCTGCCCAGGCTGGAGTGCAATGGCTTGATCTTGACTCACCAAAACCTCCACTTCCCAGGTTCAAGTGATACTCCTGCCTCAGCCTCCTGAGTAGCTGGGATTACAGGCATGCACCACCACGCCTGGCCAATTTTGTATATTTAGTAGAGATGGGGTTTCTCCATTTTGGTCAGGCTGGTTTCAAACTCCTGACCTCAGGTGATCCACCTGCCTTGGCCTCCCAAAGTGCTGTGATTATAGGCATGAGCCACCATACCTGGCCTAATTTTTATACAATACAGAAGTCTTCCATATGTATAGCCTCTTTAGGACCCACAGAAGAGGCCAGGCATGGTGGCTCACTCCTGTTATCCCAGCACTTTGGGAGGCCAAAGTGGGTGGATTACAAGGTCAGAAGATCAAGACCATCCTAGCTCATATGATGAAACCCAACCTCTATTAAAAATACAAAAAATTAGCCGGGTGTGGTGGCACGCGCCTCTAGTCCTTGCTACTCAGGAGGCTGAGGCAGGGGAATCACTTGAAACCAGGAAGCAGAGGTTGCAGTAAGCCAAGATCATGCACTGCATTCCAGCCTGGGAGACAGAGCAAGACAGAGTGAGAATATGTCTCATTCTCTTCAGTGAAAGCAATTCTTTGAGCAATCATTATTCCAGGCTTTGCAGTTGTGCCTTGACTTAACTGTAAACAAATGCAGCCAGGTGCGGTGGCTCATGCCTATAATCCCAGTACCTCAGGAGGCCAAGGCAGGCAGACCTCTGGAGCTCAGAAGTTCAAGACCAGCCTGGGCAACATGGTGAAACCCCATCTCTACAAAAAACAAAACAAAAGAAAACAAAAAACTACAAATACTAGCCTGGCATGGTGGTGTGCACCTGTTAAGTCCCAGCTACTTGGAAGGGTGAGGTGGGAGGATCAACTGAGCCAAGGAGGTAGAGACTGCAATGAGCAGAGATGGCATCGCTACATTCTAGCTGAAGCCACAGAGACCGTTTCAGGCCAGGCAAAAAAAAAAAAAAAAAAAAAATTAAAGAAAAAAAAAAACACTCCTAAAACAAATGCCATAACAGCAGTGTAGACAAACAAATGATTAGATTATTAGAGTAAGTAACATTTTTTTGTTATCAAGTTTCCCAAGATCTAAACCAGCTGTTTAGCCAATCTTTTATTTGGGTCTTTGTAACAGACATTAACTTAGTGATGTTATACAATTTATCTGGGATATAGACACTTAGTTTTTGAGTCCATGGGTCAGCCAGTTGAGATTTTTAGATGCTGGGCTTGAAGTACTTTTTTTTTTTCTTTTTTGAGACGGATCTTGCTCTGTTACATAGGCTAGAGTATAGTGGCATGATCAAAGCTCACTATAGTCTGAACTCCTGGACTCAAGTGATCCTCCTGCCTCAGCCTCCCAAGATAGCTGCGACTACAGGTGCATATCACCACACCTCACTAACATTCTTTGTAAAATTTTTTTGTAGAGACTAAAAAGTAGTCTGGCTGGGCCAGGGTCATAAGGTTTCTGTCTTGCTAAGGGACAATGCAGGGACATAGGGACAAGAACACCACAAGCAGAACCCCCAGGGACCTGCCTACCTCCTTCTTTTCCTCCTCCTCAGGCTGGGGCCAGCCATGTCCCCTGCTGGTGCTGATAGGGTCAGCCCTGCACCTTAATGGAGCAGAGCACAGCACAGTTTACCGAGGCTGAGCTGGGCCAGACAACTGCTAAGCAGCTGAGTTACTGTTTAATGGGTATAGTTTGGGAAGGTAAGAAAGTTCAGGAGATGGTGGTGGTGATGATTGAACAAAGTGAAGGTAAAGGTACATAATGTCACCGAACTTAAAAATAGTCAATTTTACGAATTTTATGTTACGTATATTTTACCCCACCACCACCACCACCACCGCTGCCACCATACACACACACACACACACACACACACACACACACACGTTGACTCTCCGTGTCTGTGAGTTCCACATCCACGGATTCAATCAACCACATAACAAAAGATATTTGGAAAAAAAGGATGATTTTTGTCCATATTGAACATGTACCAACTTTATTTCTTGTGATTATTCTCTAAACTATACAGTGTAACAACTACTTACACAGTATTTACATTGTATTAGGTATAATCCAGAGATGGGACCAGGTGTGGTGGTTCACGCCTGTGATCCCTGCACTTTGGGAGGCGAAGGTGGGTGGATCTCCTGAGCTCAGGACTTGGAGATCAGCCTGCAGAACATGGTGAAACCCCATCTCTTAAAAAAAAAAAAAAAAAAAAAAAGAGCCACAAAAATTAGCTGGGCATGGTGACACACACCCGTAGTCCCAGTTATTCGGGAGGGTGAGGTAGGAGGATTGCTTGAATCTGGGAGGCAGAGGTTGCAGTGAGCCAAGATCATGTTACCGTACTCTAGCCTGGGCAATAGATCTTGTCTCAAATAATAATAGTAATAAAAGTTAAAAAAAAATAAAATTATATTTAAGTTGAAATGTTGAAAACAGCCCAAATTATTCTAAGTCAAAGCAAATCATGTAATTTGACATTTTTGTTTATTTGAATAAACACACTGGGGTAACTGCTCTTTTAGCATTAAAAATCCACTTAAAAACATTTTGGGGAAGGCTGGGTGTCATGGCTCATGCCTGTAATCTTAGCACTTTGGGAGGCAGAGGCGGGTAAATCACTTGAGGCAAGAGTTTGAGACTAGCCTGCCCAACATGGTGAAACCCTGTCTCTACTAAAAATACAAAAATTATCTGGGTGTGGTAAAATGCACCTGTAGTCCCAGCTATTCAGGAGGCTGAGGTGGGACGATTGCTTGAGCTTAGAAGGCAGAGGTTGCAGTGAGCCAAGATCTCGATACTGCACTCCAGCCTGGGTGACAAAGTGAGACCTTGTCTCAGAAAAAAAAAAAAAAAAAGAGAGAGAGAGAGAGATTTAACAGAGGTTTCTAGCAGAATTTAGGAAAGGCAGAGAAAGAATATGAAAATTGGGAAAGGATTATCTATGTTATAACAAATTAATAATTAAATGATGGCATGCAGTGGCTCACGTCTGTAATCCTAGCACTTTGGGAGGCCCAGGCAGGCAAATCATTTGAGGTCAGGAGTTTGAGTCCAGCCTGATGAACATGGTAAAACCCCATTTCTATTTACAAAACTACAAAAAATTAGCTGGGCGTTGTGATGTACACCTGTAATCCCAGCTACTAGGGAGGTTGAGGCACAAGAATCACTTGAACCTGGGAGGCAGAGGTTGCAGTAACCAAGATTGCATCACTGCACTCCAGCCTGGGTGACACAGTGAGACGCCATCTCAAAAAAAAAAAAAAAAGCCAGGCGCCTTTTTACAGGCTCATGCCTGTAACCCCAGCACTTTGGGAGGCTGAGGCAGGCAGATCACCTGAGGTCAAGAGTTCAAGACTAGCCTGGCCAACACGGTGAAATCCCATCTCTACTAAAAATAAAAAAATTAGCCAGGCATGGTGATAGGCGCCTGTAATCCCACCTACTTGGGAGGCTGAAGCAGAAGAATGGCTTGAACCCAGGAGGTGGAGGTTGCAGTGGGCCAAGATGGTGCTATTGTACTCCAGCCTGGGCAAAAAGAGCGAAACTCCATCTCAGGAAAAGAAAAAAAAAAAAAAAAAAAAAAAGAATTAAATGAAGTCGAATGATTTCAAAATACGAGAAAACTGATTCTAAAATTTATAGCTTACATAACAACATTTGAAAACATCAAAGTGGTTTACCTTAATTTAGCTGAACGTAGTATTCTTGTGAGTGAAACACAGTTGCCTTCCATGATACCCTTTCCAACCGTGGGAATAATGCTTTTGCGGCATGCAACATATAATGAACATGCCAACCAGTGTGTAACTTCTCCCTGGCAAGCAAAAGACAAACAGCAAAACAGATATAATACTATGTTAAAATGCTTGAATTCTAGAAACAAAAGATATGTAGAATTGTCTGGTCTCAATTTTCCTTATGTAGACAAAGGGCCAGAGAAGTGAAGACATTTGCCCAAGGTCACAAAGCTGTTAGTTGCAGCAATGAGTATAAAACTCCTTACTCTTAGTTCTGTTTTTGCAACTATAGCATGCTAAATTAATATTAATCTAAAGAAAAAACCTGGCTTGGTGGCTTATGTTTGTAATCCCAGTGACTCGGGAGGCTGTGATGGGAGTATTACTTGAGGCCAGGAGTTCAAGACTAGCCAGGGCAATGTAGTGAGACCCTGACTCTAAAAATTAAAATAAAAAAATCAGCGAGGCATGGTGGTGCTTGCCTGCAGTCCCAGCTACTTGGGTGGCTGAGACAAGAGGATTGCTTAAGTGCAGGAGTTCAAGACTGCAGTGAGCTATGTTTGCGTCACTACATTCCAGCATAGGTAACTGAGGCGAGACCCTGTCTTTAAAAAAAAAAGGTAAGTCTCTCACCTAAATGCCAAATCTAATATAGGCATATGCCACAGAACAACATTTTGGTCAACAGTGAACCACATATACAATGGTAGTCACTTAAGATTATAATACTGGCTGGGCATGGTGGCTCACACCTGTAATCCCTGCACTTTGGGAGGCCAGAGCAGGCATATCACTTAAGGCCAGGAGTTCAAGACCAGCCTGGCCAGCATAACAAAACTCTGTGTCTACTAAAAATACAAAAAATTAGCTAGGTGTGGTGGCATGTGCCTATAGTCCCAGTTACTCAGGAGGCTGAAGCAGAATCGTTTGGACATGGGAGGCAGAGGCTTCAGTGAGCAGAGATTGTGCCATTGCACTCTAGCCTGGGCAACACAGGGACACTTTGTTCAGCTCCAAAAAAAAAAAAAAAACAAGATTATAATACTGTATGTTCTAAGTGTTCTATACAAAAAAAAAAATTATAATTTACTGTACTTCTCTTACGTTTAGATACACAAATACTTAACATTATAGTTGTCTACCGTATTCAGTACAAAAATATGCTGAACAGGTTTGCAGCCCAAGAGCAATAGGCTACATTACACAGCCTAGGTATGTAGTAGGCTATGCTATCTAGGTTTGCATAAGTATAGTCTATGAAGTTCACACAACAAAATCACCTAATGTTGCATTTCTTAGAATGTGTCCCTGCCTTTAAGGGAAGCATGACTGAATTATCAGAAAAGTTATCTTAAAATTTGTCAGCATGACTTTCTCAATTTAAGAAATGGCCTTGATGATCCTGAAGTTTCTTTCTACCGTTTTTATTTTTCTCTTTAACAAGTTTGGCAGGGAAAGGCAAGAAGGAAGTAAAAAGTTGGCAACAGAGTCACACATAAAAAATTCATACTAATCTTGTGCAACATAAAGGAGACTGTCATTTTTTTTAGGTAAAAATTTGGGGAATTATTTACCCCAAAACATGTCATCTTTAAAATATAGTCATGCATTGCTTAATGACAGGGATATATTCTGAGAAATGCAATATTAGGCAATTTCGTTGTGCAAACATCATCGCATAGCCTACTAAACCTAGGCTAGATGGTACAGCTTATTGCTTCTAGGCTACAAACCTGTGGAACATGTTACTATACTGAATACTGTTGGCAAATACAACACAATGGTAATTATTTGTGTATCTAAACACAGAAAAGATACAGCAAAAATAAAGTATGTGGTATGTGTGGTCCATCACTGACTGAAATGTTTTGCAGCATGTGACTGTAGTAAGCATGGCTCTCCATATTAGCATATATTTCAATTATACAATGCTACAAAAAAGGTGACATTTGGGAATTCAACAATTTTCTGCATTAGACTTGAGAAATCTCCAAGCCAGAATCACTTCATGACTTCATTGCCGAAATACAATAGGTGCAGTTTAAGAATTAAGAATTACAGATAAATGACAGGCACAGTGGTTCATGCTCATAATACTAGCACTTTGGAAGGCTGAGGCAGAGGATTGCTTGAGCTCAAGAGGTCAAGATCAGCCTGGGAAACACAGTGGAAAAAATTAGCCGGGCATGTGGCACATGCCTATAGTGCCAGCTACTTGGGGAACTGAGATGGGAGGATTGTTTGAGCCAGAAGGTTAAGGGCTGTGATTGACCTGTTGGACTCCAGCACGGGTGAAAGAACAAGACCCTATTTAAAAAAAAAAAAAAAAAAAAAAAATGACAGATGTAATCTCATAGCACAACATAACAGGGCTATTATTCACTGTTCCACAGATTCTCTTTAAGACCAAACCCTAGAAGGATAAAAAGACTGATAAAAAGACTTCTTGAAATAATCTAAAAGAAATGGATAGAAATGGGTGGCCCTCGATAAACCCAATGTTCCTACCTTGAAGGACTACGAAGTCTTATTTTCTCAAAGCACTAAATGAGGCAGGTAAGCTTAAGGATGAATATTTTTAGAGCCTTTAATTAATGAATTGTTTGGGAATAGGGGCTGGTTGCGGTGACTTATGCATGTAGTCCCAGCACTTTGGGAGGCTGGTGTGGGTGGACTACTTGAGTTCAGGGGTTTGAGACTAGCTTGGGTAACACGGCAAAAGCCTATCTCTACGAAATACAAAATAACTAGCAGGACGTGGTGGCATGAGCCTGTAGTCCCAGTTACTCTGGAGGCTAAGATGGGAGAAGTGTTTGAAGCCAGGGAGGTTGAGGCTTCAGTGAGCCCTGATTGTGCCATTGCACTCCAGCCTGGGGGACAGAGCGAAACCCTGTCTCGAAAAAGAAAAAGAAAATGGTTAGGGAATAGCATCCAAGTATTACGGAACCTTTGGATACAGTATACCAAATAAAAATTCTAGCAAAATGGTGAAAATATAAGACCTAAAATTATCATTTTGATTTTTTTTTAGACATAAAAGATACACTGATTTTTATTTTACTTTTTTTTGTTTGTTTGTTTTGAGACGAAGTCTCACTCTTGTTTCCTAGGATGGAGTGCAATAATGCAATCTCAGCTTACTGCAACCTCTGCTTCCCGGGTTCAAGTGATTCTCCTGCCTCAGCCGCCCAAGTAGCTGGCATTATAGGCACCTGCCACCATGCCCAATTAATTCTTGTTTTTCCTTTTTTTGAGACAAAGTCTAGCTCTGTCACTCAGGCTGGAGTGCAGTTGTTTTATGGTGTTGGCCAGGCTGGTCTTGAACTCCTGACCTCGTGATCCACCTGCGTCAGCCTCCCAAAGTGCTGGGATTAAAAGCGTGAGCCACTGCTTCTGGCTGCCCAGCTAATTTTTGTATTTTTAGTAGAGATGGGGTTTCACTGTGTTGGCCAGGTTGGTCTCGGACTCCTGACCTCAAGAAATTCGCCTGCCTCGGCCTCCCAAAGTACTAGGATTACAGGTACGAGCCACTGCACCCAGACGATTTTACTTTTCAAAACAGGTCTTACTCTGTTGACCCAGGCTGGAGTGCAGTGGTGCAATCAGGGCCACTGCAGCCTCAATCTCCGAGGCTCAAGGAATCCCCCCACCTTAGCCTCCAGAGTAGCTGGGACTTAAGGCACACACCACCACACCCAGCTAATTTTTGTAGAGGTGGGGTTTTGCCATGTTGCCCAAACTGGTCTCAAACTCCTGGGCTCAAATGATCCACCTGCCTCAGCCTCCCAAAATGTTGGGATAACAGATGTGACCCACCATGCCCAGTCTATTTTATTTTTTGTAGAGATAGGGCCTCACTATGTTGCCCAGGCTGGTCTTGAACTCCTGGATTCAAGGGATCCTCCTGTCTCAGCCTTCCAAAGTGCTGGGATTATAGGGGTGAGCCACTGTGCCTGGCCTGTTTTTCTTTCCTTAAAAAAGTCAACTATTTTATTACATGAGAATAAAATAGAATACAATTCTATTTTATAAAATCCTATTTCATAAAATTCTATGAATTCTATGAGATCAGAAACTGTTTTTTGTATTTCTAAGGCCAATTTGTCAGGCCTTAGAAATATAAAAATAGTGTCTGATCTCATAGGTCTGGAGCTAAGATGATGAACAGATACTGTTATTTGTAATTGGGTTAGATTTAGAAGCTGTAAGAATTGAAGATAAAGCACTGGAGGAGAATATAGTGTAGTGAGTAACTGATTTTGACAGGGAAGGGAAGTTTAGGGAAGGCCTCACAAAAGATGACAAAATTTGTAAATCACTAAAAGTGTGAGCAGGAGCTTGTCAGTTAGAGTAGAGATGGGTAGGGATTAAAGAAAGACTTTTTTTTTTTTTGGGGACAGAATCTTGCTATGTTGCCAGGCTGCAGGGCAGTGGTATGATATTGGCTTACTGCAACCCCCGCCTCCTGGGTTCAAGTGATTCTCCAGCCTCAGCCTCCAGAGTAGCTGAGACTACAAGTGCCTGCCACCAAGCCCAGCTAATTTTCACATTTTCAGTAGAGACATGGTTGCACCATGTTGGCCAGGATGGTCTCAATCTCCTGACCTCGCAATCCACCTGCCTCAGCCTCCCAAAGTGCTGAGACTACAGGCATGAGTCACTGTGCTCGGCCAGAGAAAGACTTCTTAGGAAGCATCTGAAATATATAAAAATGACTACTCCAAATACCTTTCAACAAAAATTGATTTTAAAAAAAGAGAAGGAAAATAAAACACTGGATAGAATAAACACAAAATTTCAGTTCATACATTTGTCGGGTTTTTTTTTTTGAGACGGAGTCTTCCTCTGTTGCCTAGGCTAAAGTACAGTGGTGCAATCTCGGCTCACCACAGACCCTGTTCTCCTGGGTTCCAGTGATTCTCCTGCCTCAGCCTCCTGAGTAGCTGGAATTACAGGCGTACACAACCACACCCAGCTAATTTTTATATTTTTAGTGGAGATATGGTTTTGCCATGTTGCCCAGGATGATCTCAAACTACTGACTTCAGGTGATCCCCCTGCCTCAGCCTCCCAAAATGCTGGGATTACAGACATGAACCACCATGTCCATCCTATTTGTGCTTTCTAGAGCAAACATTGGGCTAGGCACTGTAGCTCATGCCTGTAATCCCAACGCTCTGGGAGACTGAGGCAGAACAATCACTTGAGACCAGTTCAAGACCAGCTCAGGCAACATAGTCAGATACTGTCTCCACAAAAAATTGAAAAATTAGCTGAGCACAGTGGTGCATGCCAATAGTCTCAGCTACTAGGGAGGCTGAAGCAGGAAGATCACTTGAGCCCAGGAGTGTGAGTTTACAGTGAGCTATGATTATGCCACTGCATTCCAGGCCTGGGCAAAAGAGTAAGACCCTGTTTTGTTTTTGTGTTGTTTTATTTTTTATTTATTTATTTATTTTTCAGATGGAGTTTCACTCTTGTTGTGAAGGGTGGAGCGTAATGGCACGATCTTGGCTCACTGCAACCTCCACCTCCCAGGTTTAATTGATTCTCCTGCCTCGGCCTCCCAAGTAGCTCAGATTACAGGTGTATGTCACTACACCTGGCTATTTTTATATTTTTAGTAGAGACGGGGTTTCACCATGTTGGCCAGGCTGGTCTTGAACCCCTGACCTCAGGTGTTCTGCTCACCTTGGCTTCCCAGTTTTGTGTGGGATAAGGCCCCTGGCTTGATTCTGACTCATTATGACTGTTGGGATTATAGGCATGAGCCACTGTGCCTGGCCAAGACCCTGTTTCTAAGGAAAAAAAGAAAAGAAAGAAAGAAAGAAAAAATAAATAAATAAATAAAGCAAACATTAAAGATGTCATATTCAACTCTGCCTACCTAGATATTTAGCTCTTCAACCTTTCTTGGTGTTGGTGAGAGGACCAGGCAGAGGGAAAAGCATGGATAAAGCACAAAACTGGGAACAAGCTTGTTATATTCAAGAATCTGAAACAGGTACATGCCATGACTGTAGTTTGACACAGTAAATGCTTATTCAATGACAGACCTTCTGCAGGAGAGACCAAATGAGACCTTGGATGTCAGAAATGCTTTCTCAGCCTTTCAAAAATCAATTGTTTTCAACTGAGAGGCCATTCATTCTAATCTCCCCTACTTTCTTATTCTTTCCACAGCTTTCCAGTCATGCCACACACAGATGTGGACCATTGTCCTTCACGCAGTCTATCCAGTCCTGAAGACACATGAGTCTTTTTCAGGTACTTTTCCTTCACATACAGACACACAAACAGTCAACATTTCCAACTCTATTTTGCTGGGTGGTGAGTCAGTGATGTGCCCTGGGCATGGGTCCAGTCCTCTTGATACATGAAAGCCTTTGAACATGAGGCCACTGGAGTGCTACACGAAAACACTCTATCACCATTCTGTCTACACTGGCCTTATGCTTGCCTGAGTTTCTTACTTTTTCTTTTCTTTTTTTTTTTTTGGAGGCAAAGTCTCGCTCTGTTGCCCAGACTGGAGTGCAGTGGCAGGATCTTAGCTCACTCCAACCTCTGCCTCCCCAGTTCAAGCAATTCTCCTGTCTGAGCCTCCCAAGTAGCTGGGACTACAGGCACATGCTGCCACGCCCACTAAGTTTTTGTATTTTTTTCAGTAGAGACAGCATTTCACCATGTTGCCCAGGCTGGTCTTGAAATCCTGAGCTCAGGCAATCCAGTCACCTCGGCCTCCAAAAGTGCTAGGGTTACAGGGCTGAGCCAACGGGCCTGACCTCTTTCTTTTTTCTTTTTTTTTTTTGAGACGGAGTTTCGCCCTTGTTACCCAGGCTGGAGTGCAATGGCGCGATCTCGGCTCACCGCAACCTCCGCCTCCTGGATTCAGGCAATTCTCCTGCCTCAGCCTCCCGAGTAGCTGGGATTACAGGCAAGTGCCACCATGCCCAGCTAATTTTTTGCACTTTTAGTGGAGACGGGGTTTCACCATGTTGACCAGGATGGTCTCGATCTCTCGACCTCGTGATCCACCCGCCTCGGCCTCCCAAAGTGCTGGGATTACAGGCTTGAGCCACCGCGCCCGGCGCTCTTTCTTTTTTTTTGAGACAATCTTGCTCTGTCACCCAGGCTGGAGTGCAGTGGCGTGGTCTCTGTTGTTCACTGTGGCGTCCGCCTCCTGGGTTCAAGCGATTCTCCTGCCTAAGCCTCCTGAGTAGTTGTGATTACAGGGTAATCACACCACGCCCAGCTGATTTTTGTACTTTTAGTAAAGACAGTTTCACTGTGTTGCCCAGGTTGGTCTCTAACTCCTGCCCTCAAGTGATCCGCCCTCCCGGCCTTCAGCCTCCCCAAGCGTTGGGCTACAGGCATGAGCCACCACCCCCAGCCTGGGTTTCTATATTAGAATAACCCTGGGCAAAACAACCTTCTGGGCCTTGCTATTACCACCTGGAAAGTGGGTCTCGTATTCATTGGTATGCCATGTTCGCAGGGCTGTTGTGAGGATAAAATGCAAGAATGATGAGGAAAATCGAGTAATTATAACTGACGTTTATTTTTTTCAGAGCCAGACACTGATAGGAAGCATCAGGACGATGCTCTGATGGAGGAGGAAACGCGGGGCTGAGATCAGCTTCGTGTGCACATTGGCTATGATCAAGCTGCTGCAAAGCGACCAGCAGATCCACCCTGGTGAAGCAGAGGGTGGAGACTAAACGGCTCAGGCTCTGGGTCTGGCTCCGTGAGTAAGTCCGTGTGACCCCGGACCCGCAGCTTAGCCCGTCTGCGGTTAAGCCGCTCGGTTAACTTAAGAGGAACCTGTCGGCTTCCTCCTGCGTGGAATGAGGACCGCAGAAGGGGTTCCGACGGAACGGAGTGGGAGGGTCCATTTAAAGTTCTGAGCAGTGGTGTCTTGGCGCGCCAATTCATTTTCGCTTTTACCATTATATTTGTTCTTACCTATTTAAGGGCAGCACCACGACCTTTGTGGCGCTCGGCGGGGTAGAGGGAAGCGTGGTCAGGAAGCCTGGGGTCGGAGCGGCGCGGGACCTAGGCCGCTCCTTGTTTGGGGCTTCAGTTTCCCGCCTCAAAGTAATGGGTGGATTGGCTGAGTTACACCCAGCCTTCCCGCCCCTCGGCGTCAGGCTGCGCAGCGACCCTCCTCGGTGGGGAAACTCCCACCACCCCATAGGCCGGGGAGGGGGCGGGGCGGGGCGGGGGTGGGGCCTGGCGAGGGTCGGGTCCGGCGGTCCCACCTGCCGCCGCTCACCTCTAGGCTGTAGTTGCCTCGGATGGCGGTGAAGTCGTCCAGGGCTTCGGCCGCGCTCCCTTCGTCCAGATTCAGCTCCTGGCACAGCGCCTGTAGCGCCTCCCCGGCTGCGGCGACCACCGCCGCCCCCTCGGTGTGGGGCTCGTCCTCGAACATCTCTTCAGTCCCCGCGGGCGGCGCGCGGCAGCCCCCGACTTCTTTCTCTCTCTCCGACGAGCTACCCACAACCACCTGCGCCAAAGCGCGCGAAAATCGGTGACTGCGGGGACCCTTGTCTTCCACCGTCCGCCTCCGCTTTTCTCCTCAAAAAAAGTCCGTTTTTCCTCCGGAGCTCCTAGCCTTCCCTCTCTGGAAATGTGATAAGAAGACGGACCACAGATCCTGATTGACCTGGCCTTGGCCCTTGGCGGATCGCTGGGGGCCCAGCCGGCGGAGCGAAAAAAGAGCGGAGGGATCCGCAGCCTGCGCGCAGAGCCTGCTGGGAGGTGTAGTCCATCTCCTGGGAGATGAAGCCCGCAGCCTGCCGGTCTCCCTGGTTAGGCTCTTGGGTTTGGGTAGGGCTGGTATGCCTACTGCGAGGTGGCCTTGTGCAGCATAGTGAGATGCCTCCTTTATCCATGGGCCCTGGGTTTGTCACTGTTTCTCCTGCCTCAGGCTCCTTTTTAGAGAAAAAGTAGCCCTTGGACGAAGAGGGGCTCTTGGGACTCTCCCCAGCGTCCCAGTGCCCAGTGAGCGGTTCTCTAAATGACCGAGGGGAAGGACTGGTGAGGGCTATTAGGGGACGGATCCTGACCTTGTGTTAGTCACACGAGGCGAGCAGAGAGGACTGCAGTAATGAGGCAGGAGAATAGGGTCTGGAGGCAGGGAACCTATGGCTGGTTCACGTGACTTTCTAAAACACAATTGAAAGGGAAACTCCAACTTTCTATTCCTAAGTAACAAAATGACCAGAGGCTATTTCGTTGGACATTTTCTGCATGGCAGATGGGAAACTGTCCGCAACAAATCACACTGAGTGCTTGCCAGTCTTCGTTTGCAACTTTGTAACTTAACTCCAGTCTCTGAATAGTTGCTGCCCACAACCAATCAGACTAATTGCGGTAGAGTCTTCATTTGCATAGAAGTATAACTTTGTAACTTCACCCTAGCCTCTGATTGGTTGTTTTTGCAACCAATCAGAAGCTATTCAATTGTCAAAAAATCCAAAAGTTTGAAAATGTTGCAGCGACTCCCCATTTCTTTCTTTTTTTTTTTTTTTTTGGAGACGGAGTTTCGCTCTTGTTACCCAGGCTGGAGTGCAATGGCGCGATCTTGGCTCACCGCAACCTCCGCCTCCTGGACTCAGGCAATTCTCCTGCCTCAGCCTCCTGAGTAGCTAGGATTACAGGCACACGCCACCATGCCCAGCTACTTTTTTGTATTTTTAGTAGAGACGGGGTTTCACCATGTTGACCAGGATGGTCTCGATCTCTTGACCTTGTGATCCACCCGCCTCGGCCTCCCAAAGTGCTGGGATTACAGGCGTGAGCCACCGCGCCCAGCCGACTCCCCATTTCTTTCAGGGTTAAGCCAAGCTCCTTGTCCTAGCCTGTAAGGCACTAAGGGTCTAACTCTGCCTTCATTTGCTCCTCTCCCCTTTCTCACCCTACCGGTAGTCATACTTGTGATTCCTTGTGGCTGCTTTATTCCCCTTTAATTTAGAAAAATACAAACTCAATTTTTTATTTAGTGGTAACCCCAATGTTTTAAAAAAGTGAAACACTTCATTCAAATCACTAGCTAAAAGATAATAGCTAAGAATACTTGAACCAGATATCAAAGAATTGGGGAAATGGGGGTGGGGCATGGTGGCTCACACCTGTAATCCCAGCACTTTGGGAGGCTGAGATGGGTAGATCACTTGAGGCCAGGAGTTCAAGGCCAGCCTGGCCAACATGGCAAAACCCCATCTCTACTAAAAATACAAAAATTAGCTGGGCATGGTGATGTCCGCCTGTAGTCCCAGAAGCTGAGGCAGGAGGACAATCGCTTGAACCGGGAAGACAGAGGTTGCAGTGAGCCGAGATCTCACCACTGCACTCCAGCCTGGGCAAGAGAGTAAGACTCAGTCTCAAAAACAAACAAACAAAAACCCTTAATGCAGTTAACCATTAGACATTTCCATTCTTGACCTGCCAGTTGTCCCATTTCCTTTCTTTTTTTCCATATTACCTCCAAGATGTCCCTCCACTGCCCTAGATAGCTCAGCTCTGGTTCTCTGTGTATATTCTTCAACCAAATAAGAGCCTGAGAATCAGATTGATGGTGACTACTTCTGATTAGTCCAGTGTGCCTCTTGGGGTCTTCCCACAATTCCACATGCAACTTATTAAAGTGGTCACCCAGCACAAACTAATCTCTTTTCCCAGAAAATTTCTGCTTGTAAGAATTTTTTATCCATTTATGCTTAAAGCAGACAGTGAGTACTCAACAAATAATAGTTCCTATCCTAGAGCCATTTGAGGACCTGACATCGGTTGTAGGAGAGGGAATCAAGAAAATGGAAAAAAGGGGAGAAGTAAGGAATGGAAAACTTGAATATATTGGGACAGATTTAGCATTACACCAATTCAGAGAGTTTTTTGTCTTGCTTGGAGGTTTTGTTTAAGATTGAGTCTTGCTCTGTTGCCCAGGCTAGCGTGCAGTGGCAGGATCTTGGCTCACTGCAACCTCTGCCTTCCGGGTTCAAGCAATTCTCCTCCCTCTGCCTCCTAAGTAGCTGGGATTACAGGCATGCACCACCACACCCAGCTAATTTTTTGCATTTTTAGTAGAGATGGTGTTTCACCGTGTTGGTCAGGCTGGTCTTGAACTCCTGACCTTGTGATCTGCCCGCCTTGACCTCCCAAAGTGCTAGGATTACAGGTGTGAGCCACCATGCCTGGCCTGTTTTTTGTTTTTTTTTTAAGATAGAATCTCGCTCTGTTGCCCGGACTGGAGTGCCGTGGTGTGATCTCGGTTCACTGCAACCTTTCTTACCAGGTTCCAGCAATTCTCCTGCCTCAGCCTCCTGAGTAGCTGGGACTACAGGCACATGCCACCATGCCTGGCTATTTGTACTTTTAGTAGAGACGGGGTTTCACTATGTTGGCCAGGCTGGTCTAAAACCCCTGACCTCGTGATCTGCCTGCCTCGGCCTCCCAAAGTGCTGGAATTATAGGCATGAGCCACCGCACCTGGCCACATGGAGGTTTTTAAGGGAAAGAAAAATGAAGAAGACAGGGCCATAAAGGATTTCACAAAAATACATCATTAAGTATGAAACTATAAGAATGGATTGTTGGCCAGGCATAGTAGCTCACGTCTGTAATCCCAGCACTTTGGGAGGCCAAGGTGGATGAATTAATTAAACTCAGGAGTTTGAGATTATCCTGGACAACATGGCAAAACCCCGTCTCTACCAAAAATACAAAAAAATTAGCTGGACATGGTGGTGCATGCCTGTAGTCCCAGCTACTTGGGAGGCTCAGAGAGAGGATCACTTGAGCACAGGAGGCTGAGGTTGCAGTGAGCCATCATCACGCCACTGCATCCAGCCTGGGTGGATGAGACCCTGTCTCAAAACAAAAACCAAAATGTTATTTTATTCTTAAGATTGTTGGCAATTAAACAAAGTCCTTGACAAAAGAGTCAACACCACTAACATTGCAACATTATTTATTTAGAATCTCTCTTGAAAGTGTCCTCGACCTATTTCTCAAAACTGGAATTCTACTGGGCACAATGGTACATGCTTGTAATCCCAGCACTTTGGGAGGCTGCCACAGGAGGATCACTTGCGGCCATGAGTTCAAGACTAGCCTGCCTGCACAACATTGCAAGATCTTGTCTCTAAAAAACAAGAAACAAACAAAAAAACATTAGCTTATTCATCTCTAGCTCTCAGTCCCTGATGTGAGTCCAGTACAAGGGGGAGGAAGGGGAATTAACAATCAATAAATATGTACTCTGTGCTCCATCTGTGCAATACCTCTTACATACGTTCTTTCATTTACACATTCCAACAAGCTTTTAGTTAGGAAACACCATCTCCATTTTTTATATGAACCTGCAGTTGAGAAATTAATTATTTTTTTTAATGTTTCCAGAAAGTCAGCTATAATGCTGGCATTTGATCCCAGGCCTATATACTCCAAACTTCATAATATTTAGTCTGCATAATTCGCCAATTCCAAATATATCTCTATTTACAGAACAAATAATTGTGCTGATATTCAGTGAGATACTGTGTACAATATAAAACCCAGTTTATGATTTAAATGGAGGCAAAAGATGTAGATACAGCCAAATCCTGAAGTCATCATCTTGTGTTAGCTCTTGTTTCTGTTTTGTCTTTCCCATTTGACAAAGAGCCATGTCTAGAAGTTCAGGGTTGTCTTGCTTTCTGAGATGGAGACAACAGCATGAAGGGCCATTTAGCAGGTATGGTTGTATGTGCCTGTAGTTCCAGCTACTTAGTAGGCTTGGCAGGAGGCCAGACTTGGAGGTTAGTAAGTTATGATCACGCCACTGCACTCTAACCTGGGTGACAGAGGGAAACCCTATCTCTAAAAGAAATTACATTAAAAAAAAAAAAAAAAAAAAGATGGGAACTTTTTTTTTTTTTTTTTTTTGAGACATATTCTCGCTCCATTGCCCAGACTGGAATGCAGTGGTGCAACCTTGGCTCACTGCAACCTCTGCTTCCTGCATTCAAGTGATTCTCCTGCCTCAGCCTCCCAAGTGCTGGGATTACTGGTGTCTGCCACATGCCTAGCTAATTTTTGCATTTTAAGTAGATGGGGTTTCATAATGTTGGCCAGGCTGGTCTTGAACTCCTGATCTCAAGTGATCTGCCCGCCTCGACCTCCCAAAGTGCTAGGATTATAGGCCTGACGCACCATGCCCAGGCAAAAACCCTGTAGATTTAAAAATTATATTTGCAATTTTAAACTAAGAACTGCCCTTTCCTACAGCTTCTTAAAGGTTTTAAAAGCAAAAGACATGTGGGAGGTAATTAAATGGGTAGCGGTGGCTTCATGCTGCCAGTTTTAAGTCTGAAAAAAGGTGTTGGGGAGCGCATCAGTGGCTTCTGTGGTTTCTGAAAGGATTTGTTTTTACCTGGCATTACTTGCCTTGTGTTTCTAGGTAGGGGGCCTGCCCATGAGCTTCCGCAACCAGCTCTCTCTCTGCTCAGGTTTTGG